CTCTCTTCAAGTCAAGTGTAATTGCAGAGACTGATTGGAGGGAATGCAGAGGGAATCCCCTTTTACACAGACACGCATGCACACACATACATCACAGGATCTCTTTGCATGGGGTCAAAGGTGAGGGAAAGAGGGGAGGGCACACAAAACTCTCACATTTCCTGCCAAGTCTGTGTGCGTTTGTGATTTTGGTGCACAGTAACCAAGCTGCCCACACAGATGTGCATGCAGGACAGTAGAGATGGACACGAGCTTCTGGCCTTTACTTACCACGCAACTGTAAGGGAAGTTGCGTGGCTTTGGAATTCGTGTGTTTTCTAAAAAACAAAGTGCGTGTGTTTGTAAATGAAACCCATTTGGTCTGAATGTTAGTCAGTCAGGTGTACCGGTGCATGTCTGGGAATGATTATTTTGGTAAGGAGGAGGGGGGAGGCAGCACGCAGCGGGAGGTCGAAGAAAATTGGAACAGCTGTTGATTAACATGAGTGCTCTCTGTCTCTCTCTCTCTTCTTTTTTTTTTACTCTCCCTCAGTAGAGGAAGAAGAAGAAGATGAAGAGTTGATGGAAACGAAGCCGGGGCCAGAGTCGGAGCAACAGGATGAGGACGACAACAGGGAAGCCAAAGAAGGTAAAACGAGTTTAGCAACAAAAAAAAACCCCCATTCATTTAATGAAACCCCAAAATAAACTTCCCATTCTTTTTCTCATGTGTGTGACACCCTTCTCAGGTCAGTGGGTGGATCAGATAGGAGGGTGGGGGCAGGTTTCAGCATATCAGGACCATGGCATCTTGGGGTCAGCACTGATTAAAAACCTGTCACTTGACCCCGTTCGTCTTCAAAGTGAAGAGGAATGGAGAAGTGTGTGTATGTGTATGCATGTGCCCGTGTGTGGAAGTCCTAGAAAAAAGACCTGGTTCAAACACAAGCCATGATGGACATATTCATATTCTGAATATGCGTGACTGTAGCAAGTGTGAGTCAAACACACACAGATAGGCAGATGCACCCACGCACTCGTAAACACACAGTCATCCGTCTCCTCTCCATCCTGGCCTATTACAAGGTCTGGCCTTTGATCTCTGCCACTCGATTCACTGGGTCTTTTCTGACAACTCGTAAGAAATACAAAGAGATGGAGAGGGATCAAAGTCAAGAGGCAGGGTAAAGGTCGGTGTGTGTGTTAGTGTGAGGAAAATCGCGTGTGTGCTTGGGGACAGTGACTTCAAAAAGTGGACGCCGTGCTGTGCAGCCATTACGTTCAAAGGGAGGCGGGTCGCTCACAGGGCTTTGTTATTCCGTTGTTTATGAAGTTCTTGCTCTACGTTTTTTTGTGTGTTTTTTACTAGGAATGATGCATTAGGAACTGTTTGTAGTTTATTACGTCCTGCATGCAATTCTGGTTTTGATAGAGATGAAGAGAATGCTAATCTTGTCTAATGTCATAGCCACATGTTGATTCTTTTGTAGTAGTAGTAGAAGCAGAGTACAGTGTTTGTGTGGATATAGTTGGATACACTAGCTGTTAATTCATATAGTGTGTAAGAGGGGGGAATAATTAAAGGGAAAATGGTTAAGGTGTGGGGTCACTACATGCTGCCACAACAGCTTCAGTGCACCTTGACATTGATTCTACAAGTCTTCCATTGGTTTGACAGGTGGGACTGGCCATAGCATAGACCTATAAATCAAGGGTTCAAACATAAGGCATGGGGGCCAGAGTCAGCCCCCAGTGGACAGCTTTGGAACTTGTGAAGAAAGCTGTAAATTTATGGACTTTTACCTGTATTTTAATATGTTTTACAGCTCTATCTTTACTGAAAAAGACCATCTACATGACTTTTCATGCTACACTAAAGTGATTATAGGCAGTAAAAAAAAACACATTAAATGACAGTGAAAAACCAGCAACAAAAACTTTCTGTTTTATAATTACAGGGTTGTTTTTTACAGTCTATTAAGACATCCTAAGGATCAAATGTGTAATTAAACTTCTTTAGAATCACAGAAAGGGGAGTTTCACTGGTACGACCCACTTAATAAAAATGGGCTGATCTGCCCTATGATGTAAAATGAGTTTGACATCTCTGCTATAATCATTTTTGCTCACTCAGTGACGACTTCATCCTGAAAGAGACCATTCAGAGGAACTTTGTATTGATGTGCAGTAACCCTTTCCAGAACCACTGGATGCTCTCTCTGTAGAGGTCAAGCAATCAGCCCTGTACCCCTGTCTTAGTGTACAACCATTATCCTTTCACTGTCTTTAGTCATTAATTCACTGGAGACTATTTCTCTTGTCATCTTTTTCTTATTTGCATAAGAAACAGCAGATTAACAGCCTGTCTCCATGGGCAGTTTTTCTTTTTTTTGCACTGAAAGCATCGATGACCGTAGTTTCAGAGTGCTTTCTTCACAACTTGTTTCTGCTAGGTTAAAAAAAATGTATTTTTATTCAAAGTTCGGTCATAACTGATTTGGATTTGATCGCAACTGATTGGATCAACCCAATAGAGCACTTTGCTCTCAGGCTGCAGGCTTACTTCTGGTTCCTAGGATGTTTAAAAGTAGAATGAGAGGGTTGGACATTTTAACATTTTGTTTTTTTTGATGCTCGCCTCATGTGAGATGTTTCAAGTAAAAGTCCAGCTTTTGTCACTTCCACAATAGCTTGATTGGGCAGCTCCAAAGGTTGCCCCTTACTGGCCTATTATTTGCAGTGTTGGCATTATAACTCCAATTCCTTCTTGATTTTGCTTGGTTGTGTGAGACAAGCAGTATCGTGTAGCACAGCAATGTTGCAAAAGCTGATTGATGTTCAACTGGGAGCACTGTGGGCACAGTGGGGGGGGGGGAACTGTGCTCTGAGGATTTTTTTTGCGGTGAAGACTTTGAGCACTGTCAGTATTCAACTTCATAGGATTTGAGTAGGAAATCAGTCCTACCAGTGCCCAAAATGCTGTCTGTGAAACATATCCTAAAATGTTTCCTCCCCCCTCTCCTAACATTTTAGGAACGCAACAAAATTGCTTTCAAACCTTGCCGTTATTTTCTATTACAACAACATTGTGTGCGAAGTGTGGCCTACAAGTCTCACATGACTCTGTGTGTTTATATGTTTATGTTGATACTTCTTCCAACAGGCTCATTTCCAGTGCTGCGGGAGCTGACCGAGGAGGAGAGGCAACAAATCCTGCACTCCTCTGAGTTTCAGAGTTTTTTCGACTGCAGCATCCGAGTGATGGAGCGAGCTCTGGCTGAAGACAGCGACATCTTCTTCGATTACAGTGGCCGAGACCTTGACGACAAAGAGGGGTGAGCAGGAAGGAGGCAAATGGGAGCATGAGGTTGGACAGAGCATTGGGTCAGGATTTATTTACAATTCAGTTTTTATTTCCATTTTACTAAACCTCCCAGCTTTTGTTCATGCCTTTAAACAAGCCTGGTGCATGCCCACTGAGTCACTGCAGTTTCAGTGACATTGTGGCTTTTGTTCTTCCAAATACTTGTCTTCATAGTGATGGCACACTCTCAGTGGGTTTAAAAAAAGCTCCTAATAACTGACAAAAATCTCAGCTTAAAGAGCCATCCGAATTGTTGCCTCTAAATGGTCATGTGGCAAGGACTCCAGACCATTACAGACTACAGGACCACCAAACCCTCCTCCCCCGCATCCTCTGATGTCTCCTTCCTCAACGAGCTCAACAACTTTTATGCTCGTTTTGAGCGAGGGAACCCAACAATTACAACCAAAGCAGACATGACGCCAGACCACCAACCTCTGACTCTCTCCCCCACCGATGTCGGAGCGGTGCTGAGCAGGATCGATGTCCACAAGGCTGCAGGTCCTGATGGCGTCCCCGGGCGTGTTCTCAGAGCGTGTTCTGAGGAGCTTGCAGGAGTCCTGACAGACATATTCAACCTGTCCTTGGCCCACGCTGTGGTACCGGCCTGCTTCAAATCCACCTCCATCGTCCCGATACCCAAAAACTCCAACCCATCT